TGCCGAGCGCGCGCAGGGCGGCGGCGTCCTCGGCGGTGTGGAGGTCGGAGATGAAGAGGCGCGGGAGGATCTCGGTCGCGCTGGGGTATGCGGCGGGGTGTGGGGGGGGGGGGGGGGGGGGGGGGGGGGGGGGGGGGGGGGGGGGGGGGGGGGGGGGGGGGGGGGGGGGGGGGGGGGGGGGGGGGGGGGGACGGCGGGGGGAGGGAGGCGAGGGAGAGGGCGGAGAGGGTCTGTGCGCGGTGGCGTTTGGTGGAGAGCGGGGGGAGGGCATGGGCGGGCGTGGGCATGGGTATCGCTATCGGTGAGCACAGGGAAAGGGAGACGGTGCGGACCGCGACTGACCGGTGTGTATTTATACGGCATCCCAGCCAAGTCTCCCCGGTTCAGGCTGCGCTCAACCAGGGCCATGTCTGGCGTCTACACTCGCAAAGCGTCCGGTGCGTCAAGCACAAGTCCGTGTCAGTGGCCCGCTCGCAGGCCGTTCGGACAATGGCGGTCGTGGTCGGGTATGCACGCCACCGATGACTGAGCAATAGTCGGGTAAGGTGGCAGAGTCAGAAAGGCAAAGGGTGGCCTAGGGCGGCTCAGGAGAAGCGCAGTGGGGGGCAGATGACTCGTCGGGGCAACAGCGCGGCCATAAATAAGAAAAAAAAAAAAGGCATCGGGTGTGGGGCATGATGGGAGCAGAGTAACTGAGGAGCTGTCGTAGTCGGCGCCACGGAAAGGCTGGGCTCGAGGCGGGACTGGCAGGCAGTGCCCGCCAGCGCCGGCTGTGTGCTCCCTCGCCTCGTCCCTGCCGGCCCATCCCGTGGTCGAGATCAATCAGTCCAATTGCCCTCCATGCTCCCGACATCGGTCATTCTGATTTTTGATTATTGTTGCTGCCACTCGCATGATCCCCGTCCCTTTTGTCTCTCATCCTCCATTCATCTCGCTTCCTCCCACTTCTGCATGTGATGCGATCGCATTTTGTGCCGTCAACCGACGACGGGCTGGGAATACAAGCATTGGCAGCTGCTCTACTACAACACCGTTACGCATAATATGGAGACAAGAACACAGAGGTAGCCCGCGCCCGCGCTCGCCCTAGCGACGACGCAAAAAAACTTTTGCAACAGAGCAAACGAGGGAAATAAACAGACAGTAACACGAGGGCAGGGCTGGCAAGACTGGGGAAAAAGAGACGGAATGATGGAGGGAATAGCCGAATGGCTCTTGGTACAGTACTGATTGGCTGAAAACGGTCTGACTGGCGTGCCGAGGTCGTAAGCGAATGATGAGGGGCGTATGTGTCTAGATGAGATCGCTGCAGATGAGGTAGGACGTCAGCGATCTATCTCCAATCGTAAGAACGGCGGCGGCACTTACGCGACGTTGAGGGGCATTTCATCGATCTGGGTGTTGTAGAACTCTGTATTCGCCGTGGATCAGAATTCTCACATGAATTTCACGCAAAGCGCAGACAACTTACGTTCGATATCTCTCAGCATGCGCACGTCGTCCGTCGTCACAAAGTTGATGGCGACACCCTTGCGTCCGAACCGACCGCCACGGCCGATACGGTGGATGTAGTTCTCGCGGTTAGTCGGGAGATCATAGTTGATGACGAGCGACACCTGCTGTACGTCAATGCCACGCGCAAGCAGATCCGTCGTGATCAGGACACGGGAGGAGCCCGAGCGGAACTCCTTCATCAGCACCTCGCGCTGCTTCTGCTCCATGTCGCCGTGCTGCACAGGAACCATGACGTCCGTCCGTCAGTGGCGTTCGGGGCACAGAAACAGACAGGCACGTACCATGGCGGACACCGTGAACTCCCGCGAGTGCATCTTCTCCGTGAGCCAGTCGACCTTTCGCCGTGTGTTGCAGAAGATGACGGCCTGGGTGATCGTGACGGTCTCGTACAGATCGCAGAGCGTGTCCAGCTTCCACTCCTCCTTCTCGACGGCAATGTAGAACTGCTTGATACCCTCAAGCGTCAACTCGTCCCGCTTGACGAGGATACGGACGGGGTCACGCATGAACTTCTTGGTGACCTCGAGCACGTCCGCCGGCATCGTGGCGGAGAGGAGGACGACCTGGGTGTCCTGGGGCAGGAGCTGGAAGACCTCGTAGATCTGGTCCTTGAAACCGCGGGACAACATCTCGTCGGCCTCGTCGAGACAGAAGATCTTGATCGTGTCCGTGCGCAGCGCGCGGCGGTTGATCATGTCGAAGACACGGCCGGGGGTGCCGACGACGACCTGGACGCCCTCCTGGAGCTTCGCCATGTCCTCGCGGACGTTCGTGCCGCCGACGCACGCGTGGCACTCGACGTTCATGTAGTCGCCGAGCGCAACGACGACTTTTTGGATCTGCTGCGCGAGCTCGCGCGTGGGCGCGAGGATCAGCGCCTGGGTGCCCTTCACATTCGGGTCGAGCTTTTGGAGGATGGAGATCGAGAACGTCGCGGTTTTGCCGGTACCGGACTGCGCCTGCGCAATGACATCGTGGCCCTTCACGACGGGCACGATGGCGCGCTGCTGGATTGCCGAAGGCCGCTCGAAACTGGACACTGTGAGCGAAGAAAGGGCGCAGAAGTTGGCTGTACTCACCCGTATGCGTAGACGCCGCGAAGCAGCTCAGGCTTCAGCTCCATGTTGTCAAAGCTAGCGGCCCGTCAGCGCTCGGTATCTGCCCGTAGAAGCCAGCTACTCACTTGTCGACAACCTGGTCCCAGTTGGACTCAATCTCGCCCTCGGGCACATCCTGGAGAGTATCTTCGCTGCAGGGCGGGTGAGAGATGCCATCAAAAGCAGTCAAAAGGCACGTACGCAGACATAATGTGTTTTTCTGTAATAGGATCCAAGTGTCGACTACGGGTGTCGACTAGAACTTGGAAGTGGTAGTGGTGCTTCCTGGGAGGTTGCTGTTAGATCGATGGAACCGTCGTGGGTTGAGTCGTCGAGCTCGGTGATAACAATTTTTCGCCTCCATCATCCCTTGCCCTCGGCCCTTGCCGCGTGCCATTCAAACTCAGCGGTGCGCTTTCCCGCATGCCGACCCCCGTGCCGCACGCCTCTCGAAGATGGCCTCCAAAATTTCAGAAAAATCCTGCTGGTGGGCGTGCTCGCGAGAAATTGCCCTCAGTCGTGAGATAGGCTGCCTGCAATTTCCAGATGTCGCGCTTCGACGATTCACACCGGTGTCATAACTTGCAATCCGGACATCAATATTATCACACCCGAGTAAGCACTGCCCGATCCCGGACCATAACTCGCAAACTCGGAGACCGGCAGTAGCACAACGACCGAGACACCCTCACTCGGACTCGGAGCTACAACGCATTTCCACGTTCGAGAACGTGTCTCAAACGTACTCGCAGACTTGCACGAGGCCCGACGCTGTCAATGTGGGCTGGGTTGCCGCCCGTAGGCCCGCACTGCTGTGCACCGCCCTGCGGTGCAGTCGAGGACGGTCTCCATGCAGCTACGCGACACCAGACAGGAGAACGTGCTAGCGTCGACAGCTGTGGGGTTGTCGACGAGCCCAATCTCGACGTTGGAGGAACGATCTCGCATCACCGTGATTGAGAGACATGAGAATGCATTTTACGGAAAACGCGCGGCTGTGTCCATCGAGACCCTTCTTGAGCTTAATGTTCGTGCATAGTGGCTGTCCGTCGGTATCGGGATAGAGTCGGAGTGTCGTAGACTATGAATGAGATCTTTCGCATCAGCGTACTACATGGACTCGTACGATCTTGTTCATTCGCACTGCGATGAGGAGCCTGCAGCGGTGTTCATCGAGAACATGTTTCGCCTGCGCTCTCGGTGGGCTTGTCAAAAGTCATCGGGTTTGAGGGAGCGTTATAGATAGGTCCTCGGCTCAGGCTGTATTGTACGATCGTCGTATCTTGCATTGTCACGAGATCAATACTATGGAATGACATCAGTGCATACGTCGGATATCTTATAGAAGCCTGTAGATGTTGGTGGGTGTGATGTGATATACGGTAGCGAAGACAAAAATTAGCACACGATTGCTGAATGCGAGGCTGTAACTCAACTCACGATAACGAACATGCTGAATGCGCAGCCGTCGGAAGGTTCCTACGTATACCGCAATGAGAACGACAAGCCAGCGCTTGCCCGACCACTTTCCAGAAAAAATGCCATCGACGTTCGGGCGTAGGTAATCTAGTGGAGTGCATATCCAGATCACTGCAGGGTCCGAGGCTAAAGGCTTTGAAATTCGGATATTGGGCACCCCAAAGATGTCCCTGGGTTTTGCTAGACCACAAAAAAAAAACGATCTCACCGGACACGCCGCAGGCACAGGCCTCGACGGGTACTTCGTGAGGCCCAATACCAGCTCGATCGAGTGTTCTGCGCGATGGTCAGCGGGCGTGTTTTGAGACATCAATCGGGTGATCACAGGGTGTTAATCCCGTCGTGACTAGTGCGACAGGCTGCGGCGCGTCATTATGATTTAGTCCTGCATTCAGGCCCTATATCAAAGTCCTCAACCCGTCGAATCAGCACTGGACGCGGCGAGTATATAGGATGGGCCACTTACAATTCCATTATGCATCACATTGCCTTGGAGTCTGTCCTCCATGAACTTGATCAATACAGCCTACAGATCAATTGCGGTCAAGGGCCTGTCGGAAAGTTTAAGGACGACCGCAGCGTCCTTTCGTGTGGTTGCGGTGACTCGGACCATTGTTTTCAAAGCCATGCCAGCGGCCATCGAGAGACTCAAGGGCACGCGTCCGAGAGGACGGCGTGGGCGTGGGAATCACTGGTCGAGCCATTGGCGCCAAAAGCCTGTCGCCAACCGTCCAGCTGAGAAACAGCCCTAAATCACTGTCATGCAGAATATATGGTGTTCAGCTTGGATAAATTGCTTCCAGGAGAAAAGGATTTAATACCCAGCATTCAGGATGCTTTTGGCCGAGGCATAGAACTGAGTTCGGTAACGTGTCAACGGATGTAAAATAGAATTTCAACCTATTATACCTGCCCCAGTGAGGCTCGAACTCACGACCTTCCGATGTAATTTCCAACCGGAAGTAACAGTCGGACGCTGTAACCAACTCAGCCATGGGGCACTTGTGACCCCTTATTCTGTAAGTGTTTTTATAGAATCGCAGGGAAATGCATTTCTCATAAAAATACTTCACTGCTGCCCCAGTGAGGCTCGAACTCACGACCTTCCGATGGCGTTCATCTTATGCACAAAGCGATAACAGTCGGACGCTGTAACCAACTCAGCCATGGGGCATATTTTTTGCCCATCCTCTGTGCCCACCGATCGGCATTGAGACAGTAAGAAATGGAATGCAGCACACACAAGCATCGACATGTACTGGTACGATACGAAAAAATAAAAAATAAAAACAATACTACTTTCCTTGTTACTGCCCCAGTGAGGCTCGAACTCACGACCTTCCGATGTATGAACTCTACCAATGGAAGAAATAACAGTCGGACGCTGTAACCAACTCAGCCATGGGGCACGTGATCATATTGGACAGTTCTTCAAAGTAGATTGCAGACCAAGTGAAGTTCACATTTGAAGATCAAGACTGCAGTTTGCAGCCAGGAAATCTTCGAATGTGATTGAGTGGACGATCCTCGTACTTCAGACACAAGCAAAATATATGTGCACGCAGATACACGCACATCCGACGCGCCGACTGCGACGCGACAAAAGGACGCCCTCCGCGTGACACGCTCACGTCACGTCACGACCATGTCTTTTCTCCGTGCCCTCAGCAGGCCGTCCCTCGCGCTGCGCCGCCCGGCGGCCCCATTAGCGTCAACGTCGCGAAACTACGCGGCATCTAAGGCCAAGGGAGCGGCCCCAGGCGAATCTGCACCGCAGGCGACCATTGACGCCGTGGTTCCTGAGATTCCCGAAGGTGCGCGCGCATGTGTCTCGTCAGTCGGAGAGTGCTGACAACAGCCACTCACTCTTCCCTCCGTCATCCAATACTCAACAATGTAATGCGTTGATTCACCACGTGCATCCCGTATGTCTCCCCGAACGCGCTCTAAACACATGCTGTGTGCACGCACATGCGACGTCCGCTGGCCTGCAGGCTCACACTCCACATGCGCTCCCAACACCGTTCTCGCAGGGCTCAACTACCGCAAGGACCAACCCCCAGTACTTGCGCTTCCTGACGAAGAATACCCACCATGGCTTTGGAAGTTGCTTGACCCGCCGGCACTGGTCGAAGATGGTCCCGGCGGCAAGAAGGAGAAGGTGCGCTTGAGGAAGGAGAACCGACAACGGATTCGGGACCAGAACTTCATGAAGACGCAGTAGTTGTGCCATGGGGGATGCAGAGAGCCGTTTGCGTGATGTGCGGTGGTTTTGTGTCTGTGGTGGGTGTGGGTTGGGAGGATGTCATAGAGTGGATTTAAGTATCGTACATTTTGCATAATTGCATGGGTCTGAACATTGCACTTCGTGCTCTGATCATGGCCGCGGCTTTCCAGCTCAACGTCGGCTGTCCATTCGAACTGGTCATGTCTGTATTTGATGTAAGAGCAAGGTAAGCTCCTAATGCAAACCGGCGGATGTAACTATCGATGTAGGACACCTTCTGGGCAATCAATCAATTGTTCACCATACCAAGGCGAGAAATAAGGGGCGATGAGGACATGGAATGACCAGGACACTATCTTGCTCCCTGAAAACTCGCTCACATTCATGCCTTGCTCCTTGATCGCTCACCCGCCGGATCGCTGAGGAGGACATCGCGCAGATCATGAAGTGCGCGCGGTCAATCAAACGTTTATGCACTCTAAACATTCTTGTTGGCGGGTACTACCTGCGAGTGACAGCTCACGGCAAGCTGGGAGGGCTAAAATTATCCCTGCAGGACGATCCTCTTCGTCGACAGATCTGCGTCCTGACGCAAGACCTAGGTCCCAGTGCGGATAACTAGTAAAAGAATCCGCCATTGCGGACTATCGAGCCTGGTACTCTGATTCCAAATTCACCTCGAGGACCACGACCGGGACAAAAGGGCTCTAATTACGAGAACCAAGTCGCACGGACGAATCCAACTGCACCAGTCGATCCATTTTCATTGGCTTGTTTCATCTTCTGATTCTGAAATTATGGCCATACCACTGCTCTATGTCCGTGCCAAGATTATCAACGGATCAACCTGTAGGAATCCACATGTTCTCGTTGCTCTTTCTTTGTTTGCGCGTGCTCGAGGGTGACCAGAAGAGGCTCTGCGCCTGCTCTTCAAGTATGCGATGATCAGCGCGTGTCATTTCTTGAATTGCGAAGTCCGTATCGTCTCCTCGTCTCCGGGTAAAAATAAGATTCCAGAAAGTACACGACGGCATTGCAAACCACTAGCATCTTTGCCCTGAGGGAGATCGTCTTCATTCATGTGAACCGGGGCCTGATAGTTGCTCGTCGTCCGCAGCTCGCACCCAAGCAGCGCCGCGCCTCCCAAAACGGGCGCCCGGCAAAGCCCGCAAAAAAGCCTCCGTAGCCGCTGACTTCCGAATCCTGACTCGGAACCGGATTCATTCCTTCTGTCCATCCATCTTTTCGCAGGACAGTTGTCCACGTCCGCGGCACCGTCCGGCGTGCGTACATCGTGCATCAGCGATGGCAACAGATGGCGATAACTAAGCAATTCAATATTCAATGGCTATCTACAGTAGGATGTACGAGCAAACGCGTTCGGGTATGTACAATAGGCAACTAGGCAGTGTATAGTGAGTATAGTAGTATCTGTATGAGTGCAGACGCGGACTTTTTTGGGCCCTGGGGCCCACGCACACGCGAGTCACGCCGACGACAGCTGTCCCCTCCCTGCCCCGCGCCACATCCCACGCACGCACTCTGTCCTTCGGGCGTGGGGCGCGGCACGGGGAATGGCGAGATAGGGGTGTCGTGTCCACGGCCAGCGTATATCAACAGTCTCCAAGAAATTTTTGAAACGCCCGAGCTCCATCCTCCATCCTCCTCTCCCCCTCCTTCCTACCTTGACGAACCCCCAACCAAGTATCCAAGAGCATGTGCGCACCAAGATGACGCGGCCCCGGTCCGCGTCGCGCATTCCAAGATAAAGCAGTCCCGTCGTGCAGGCACAAGCACGGGGGCGGGCGCTCAGTAGATCGACATCAGATCGAACTCGATGGCCTCCTCCGCGTCCTGGATGCTCTGTCCTCCGCGGCACATGCGGACCACAGCGGCGAAAGGGCGCTGCGGACGGCGGAAACGTGTCAGCGCGGCCGGGGAACGAACAAAGCGGACTGAAGAACGACGTACAGCGGTCCCGGCGAGGACGGTGCGCAGGAGGCGGCGGCAGCGGGCGCGTTTCGTGGGGCGCACAGGTGGCGATGGGGTGGGGGAAGGAGGCTGCGGCGCGTCGACGTCGATGATTTCGATACGGGGGATGGTGAGCTGGTCCTCAACCCCGATGCTAATGTTGCTGTCGTGTGTTGCGGGTGACGCGTCGCCGCCGTCGGATCCTGACAGCCTGCCGCTGGATTCCGCCGTGGTAGTCGGGGTCGAAGTCGTAGAAGAGGTGGCCATCTAGTTCCGTATCTTCGTCAGCGGTGAGTATTCTCGACGTTTGGACGATTCGCGTACTTTGAAGGAGCCACCGGGAACGTACGGGTGTTCGTCGAAGCGGTGGTCGACCGTGGTCTGCGGAAGGCGCGTCAGCGGGAGAACGACGCGTCCGCAGAGGGACGGAGCTGCGTACCATGAAATCCTCGCCGCCTTGAGGTTGGTTGGTCCGCGGGTAGGGGTGGTAGCGGCGCAGGTAGGAGGCGCGGTATGCCGGGAGGCGGCCCATGGGGAACTGCTGTTGCTGACGCAGCATCACGGTTGAGAAGGAGGGGTAAATGGGCTGCATGTTAACGAGTGGGCGAGGTCGGGACGAAAAACGGTGGGCGGTGGGAAAAGAACGGCTAGCGGCGTGCGGGCGCAAATAAAATGGCCAGCGAAGCAGCGACACGAGGGGGACGAGGGGACTGCGCAGAAGGAACGAAAACAAGAAGCGACGCGGCAGGGAAGCGGGAGAGGCCAGGGCCTTTATACGCGAGCGGGGAGGTCTCCATGTAATATCGGCAAGAGGATGCGCACCCCTAAACGCTGGGGTGATAATCTCGCGGTGACTGTCTATCGCGAAGGGGCCCCGCCCGTTTTTGGGAGCCCAATCAGCCGCGAGGGGGCCTGGGCGCGCGTGCCGGCCGTGCTGCTTATCCCCGTGCTGTCGCTGGCTTCTCGCCAGCACAGAAAATCGTTCATTTGAGACTGTCCCGTAAAGTTTTGTCGAAGGACTAGACACGAATGAAAGCATGCTATAAAATGCGATGGCGAATTTTTGAGGGCCGGCCGAGAGAGCCGGCGTGAATTGGGCGTCAGTGAGCCCACTGCGAGGCAGATGCCGGAAGCGGATTACCATCCATCATAGCGCGAACTACCGAGCCACAACGACAGCCAGCAACAATTAGCGGCCGCCCTCCACTAGTTTTGTCTATAACACGCCATACGAGACCAGGAAACCTTCTTGAGGCACTTGAGTTAGCCAGGCAAGCCCGCCCGTGAACGCATCGAAACGAATTTCGCAGGACCAGAAGCGACAAGGACAAGCACGATTCTGATGTGTCCGGCCGTGGCGCCCAGCGACCAGCGACCAGCGACCAGATATCTGGTGTTTGCTGAACCATAGAATTCTTCGGGAGGAGGGATTGCTTGGGGACAGCAGGCGACACGCTTTGAACTCCAATCTCGAACCTAGGACACTCTACGCCGAAGGCAGACGAGCTCCCGCAAATTCCTGCAGCAAATTCCACATAAACAGCTGGGATCTCGTTGTCCTCGAGTTGGAGAGCCTGTTCCGGCAGGAGAGTTCATGGCAAGTCGCCCTCGAGCCAGAGACAAATGTTTTGGGGGATTGTGCCTTCAGTAGTAGAGGGCGTCACCCGCGCAGCGAAAACATGTACGTCCCATTCTCCGTGTCTTTATTTCGTTCATGTTGTATAATTTTGCCTTTGAAGCACCATAGGATCTCTTTCGCCAGGCCTACTACCCGAGCAATCATCACAGCCGTGCCAGACGCGGTACGCGAGACTCCAGCATTTAGGTGAGAATTTGAAATGATTTGCATTCATTGTGCTTGCTAACACTTCTCGATTTTCTGTGTATTCTAGCATTCTCAGCGACGGCACTCTACATAACAGAAAAGTCGTCAGCAAAATGTTTTCGAATAATGCGTTATTACGTGATGTCACACACGTGACAGAGAAGTCACATCATGCATGCGTGATGCCCCGAAGGCGAGTAAAACTTGCCTCCTCCCAAAACATAGTGCTCAACCTCAACGATAACAAGATTGTGTGATCCCCAGAACAATTGTGTCCAGCCAAAATCAACTGTTAACTTTTCAAGAGGCATGGCAACAAGTGTGGCCATTGCGCTGTGAAGTGGCGTTGCACAGAGGGGGATTGCATACGATGAGGAAGACATCGT